AAAGTAGGAATAACTACTGTCTATATAGTGAAAAAAAGTATAAAAAGAAAATGAAAAAAGAAAAAAAAGATAGAAAAAAAGAAAATCTAGATAGAACATACTATTATAACTCATGCTAAGGTATAAAAAATAAAAATTATTTATAGTACTAATATATATACTATAAATCTTAAGTATAACTTCTTGTTAGCTATTATTCTATTTATTAAGCAGATCTATGATAGCTCTATATATATTAATTGACTTGTAAATAATCAAGATATGACTTGTTCAAAATAGAAAAAGGTACAAGTATAGATCTTTTGCTAGTGATAAACCAAAATCTCTATTTTTTTCAAAATAGAAAAGCTATAATTATTATATTAGTTTTGTTAGTCAAAAGACAAAAGAAGTTGTTTACAAAAACTAGTTATAAAGAGAAAGAGTTTTGAAGTATTTACTCTAATGTAAAATACTGTTTATTGTTTCTTCTTTTTTTCTACTACTTCTTTTCTTCTTTTTTTTTTAAAAAATATCATAATGTAAACTTTTAGCTAAAATAATATTATTATTACCTGCTAGATCTTTTTGTCTATTACATAAAATATACTAAGCTATACAACTCATACTTTTATTTAATAACTACTATTTTGTTAGGTTTCCTAGAGTTATAAATTATTTTGTATTAAAAAATATTTGCTCTATAATAGTTTAGGTAATCAGTAAAAAGAGTGATTGTATATAATGTGATTATAATAGCTAATAACATAACCAATAATATTTTCAAATAATTATAAAGTAAAAAATTTGCAAAAAGTATCAAAAAGAATAAAGCAAGTACTTACAGAATATGAATTGTAATTATTAGATATTTAGTTGATATGTAAAAAATGTTCTGAAAAAATAAAAAGATAATCTAAAAAGGTTAGATTGTTATATACAAAAAATAATATTACAACAATCTAATTTCTGCAAGCAAAAATCAATTTTAGAAGAAACAGTTTTTGGAAAAAAGCATATTTTTGAGTGGTATCCTAAATTTTATTGTGAATGTAATTTTATAGAAAAGTATTGAAGATATATAAAACATAAAACAAGAAAATTATACAAGTATAATTATGCTGATCTAATACAACAAGTTTCTAAAACTCTTGTTGGTGTTCTTATGTCAAAAATTCAAAAATTCATATATAAATCCTGAAGATACATGGATATCTATAATAAAGGTTTAAAAGGAAGGATTGCAGAATAGACTGTTAATAAATATAAAACTCATCGTCGTATTCCTGAAAATGTTAAAAAACAAATAGATTTTGAATAAATCTTTTGGAGCTCTACTTTTTTTTTTATCCTTCCCGCTTCATTTTTTATTCTTTATAATTTGATCTAAGAAATAGAAGTCTGTCGTTATAAATAGTCAATTATAGTGATAAAACATGTACCGTTGTACATTCGTTGCACAATCCATGATTTTATACCAATTTTGTAATACGATTTTATTGGTAAATAACGATCACGAGAAAATTGAAATATTTCACGTGATTGGAATTATAGATTGCCGGAACCATACGAGTCGCAAGATTAAGGTCATGTGGAATTTGACAAAGGAAGAATGAAAGAAGACATAGTCTACATAATAATCCCAAAACTATATATGTCACATGCTTGTATATATTTTTTACCTTGTAACACTTCAGGAGCAATGTAAGGCAACACACTATAAATACCAGAGGTTGAACCATTAGCAGGAACATTTAATCCAATGTCAGCAAGATCATCCAACCAAATACTAGAATAAATGACACTGAACGTGCCTCTTGCGTGGTATTTAACAAAATCAAAATCATCGAATGAAATCCATTCAAGATAATTTACACATACTTTGGCATCAAGCTGTGTTTGCTGAATAATTGAATCAATCTTTGATGTCACCACTAGTCCACTTGTGGAAATTATGTTTAAGAAAATTTGTTTGGCATCTATAACACCAATTAGAACCACTATTAGTATTCCCGCACTCAAAACATTGGGAAGCGTTTAACATTCCATTTCAGCGTCATATTTACTCAAGTTTAAAATCTCGAGATATTTACTTTGATGAATAAACAAAATCATGGCCTAATAACAATGTGAAAAATATTTAAAAGGGATATTTTGCAGTAAAGGTGACATCACTAATAAAATTTATTACAAATCAGTTAATTTAGAATAGATACTTATGTTAAATTTGTCCCTTAATTCGCAGGCAAGTGTGCGCATGTTTGCACTGATTAAAGACCCAAAATATTATTATTATTATTAACTTATGTATAACGTAGATATGCAATAGAAGATCTTTTATTTCAAAAAAAAATTTTAAAGCGAATGCTCTTTTCATTTATTTTAAAAAAAGTTCACAAGATTAATAGAGTTTCAATAATTTACGGTCAGGTGTTTTTGCCAGATTCATATAACTATATAACTAGGTTTATCACCCTTAGAGAGATTTTCTTGTGAGATTACAGTAAATTTTATAACGTGCAATTTGCACAATAATAATTCATCTCGCGCAAGAAGAATATGAAATATTTTAAAGAAATATAATATTAATTGTTCCTAACTGAATTTTACATAACTTTTTGCAAGTGAATACAAAATAAGTTTAATAATCCTATATATTTAAAGAAAATTTGACTGTATACATAAAAAATATAATAATAAAAAGAAAATTGAAAAATTTCAAGATTTAACAAGTATTATGCATAACATTTACTAAAAACGTCGTCACCCAACTTTTCTTTAACAAGATTTTCAGAAAAATCCCATAATTTTTTTGCTAATTCTTCATCTTTACCTTGAACAGTAGTTTCACTTAATTTAGCAAATGGTATAAAATATTTTCCACGATAATTTTTTTCTTCGATTTCAGGACTTGTAGCACAATAGAGTTGTGTTAACGCACCATCTTCAGGTGATAACATGAAAAATGTTCCTATAGAAACAAATGGCTTAATCCAAGATCCCCAATTGGAAGAAATATTACGATATAATTCTGTCTTTATGGCGCCTTATTTAAAGTAATTGTTAAAGTTAAATATAATACTATACAGATGTTATATAATATTTAAATTAATAATAATAATATTATTATTACCTGGATGAAGACAATTGCAATAAACATCGGTTCCTGAAAGTCTTTTATTAAGTTCAATGGTAAACAAAATATTTGCGAGTTTCGCCTGACCATATCTTTGAAAGGTAGTATGAGCATTCGGATCATTCAATTTATCAAATTCTATTCCTGCTGGAGGAGTAACACGATGAGCGATACTATGATTATCATAAGAAAATAAGTATTATTACTTTAAATATCTTTGATATGGAAAATAATTGGACTAACCTGCTAACATTGATAATACGTGATGGAGCCGAAGCTTTGATGGTTGGTAATAATAAGATTGTGAAGAGCTATTTGATAATTTTTTTATAATTTTATTATAAAAGTCGAGTTATGATAACATCTTTTAAAGACAAGCTTTAACTTATACTTACAAAATGACCAATATGATTAACACCAAACTGATCCTGGATACCATCTTGAGTTAGTTCAAATGCGCTTTTATGTGTGTATGTGGATATAAAATTAGAAGATGTTAAAACAAATTCATATCATAAATGATAGGTGAAAAATCAAACTTACGTTGCCATAATACCGGCATTGTTAATACTTGAGAATAAAGAAAAAGTGTAATGTATTAAATTTTTAGAATATGATAATAATTAATATAAAACATTCTACTTCTATTTTATTGAATACTCACAGAATATGCAATGGTAATTTTTTAGCCAAAAATGTTTCAGAAGCATGTTTAACTGAATTTAAACTTGATAAATCCAATTGCAAAAATTCTATAGCTTCATTTTTTGTTTCTTTTTTTATTTGTTCTATGGCTGATTCACCTTTCTCTTTATTACGACTTGCAACGAATACATGAGCATTTTTACGAGCCAATTCTCTAACAGTTATGAATCCTATACCAGTATTTCCTCCCGTCACTATTGCAACCTGTATTTAGTAATTTATAAGAGATTAAACATTAAATTAAATATTTACATTAAATAAAGATTAAGAACTTAAAATTACCTTGCCAGAAAGATCAGGGATATTATTAAAAGTAAAATGCTTTTGTTCAAACATTTTTGAGAATTTAAGTATTAACGGTGGAAGAATTTAAGTATTAACGGTGGAAGAATTTAAGTATTAACGGTGGAAGAATTTA